GGTGGAGGGGATCCCCATTACCTGTAAAGCGCTTTGAGTGGAGTGTCCAGAAAAAGCCCTATATAAGTGTAAGCAATTATTATTATTAATTATTATTACCAAGCCCTCAGTACTCAATTTACCCCAACTATATATCTCCAATCTTAATCTGTAGGCTTCTCATATATCCCCCTGACTTGCTCCTCTCCTGCATTCAATTTGCTCTTTGCAGAGAGACCGATATCTGTTGTTTGAGACATTTCAAGAATACCTCAAAGGCAGGGATTGCCTTGACAAAAGCAGTCATTGTGCCATTATAAAGGTCTAGTGTACATGCAGTGACCACTTCTAAACACACATTCATGGCGACAGCAGAGAGGCTGGGACTGCACTCAGACTATAAAAGCTTCCCGATAATACTGGATTTGAATTAAATCACGAATCAAAATGTTTTTAATGACCTTTTTTTTTTTTTGGAGGGACATTGTTAAAGTCTCTGGAAATGCAGATCACGGCATATGCTTTAGTGTTATCAACTATAGCTGTTGCTTCAAAGACACAGGTAAAAAAAGATTTTCTCTTTCTAAATCCATGTTAGCGCTCTTTAAGTGCCAGTGGTTTATCGTTTTCTTAGAGCTCCTCGAGAGCTCCGCAAGGTGGATGCACTTTAGGCGTGTCTCCTTGGACCTTCTCCTTAAAATGGCCTTTTTCGGAACAAATCAAAGCTCATTTCAAACCTTCACTGAACTGCGCTGCGGCTTCTTGCACCCTCTACACCGGTCACTCTTTCTGAACTCACCCCAGCCCACACCAACAAAACCCAGCCCCCCCCCCCCTCACCGGGGGTCCATGGTGGGGCGGTGAGCGGCCCGCAGCTCCTCCAGAGAGGCGCACTGTGCCAGGAGCAGCTCCACACTGCGGCTCACGGGGTCCCCAGCGCCCTCGCTGTCCGGCACGCCTGGGCTGGGCACCTGGCTCAGGCTACGGAAGGTGTTGGTGAAGTCGGCGCCTGCGGGGGGGGGGATAGAGGGAAGGGCGAGAGGCACAGAGATGAAGACCCAGGAGGTGGACAGAAAGGAGTGGTTAGACAGGGGCCAGAGAAAGGAAGGGAGACAGCAGCACAGGCTGAAACTGGACACAGGGCTGCCCAGAGAGGACAGAGTCAGTGACCACAGCCTGGGCACAGAAACTGGACACAGGCAGACCTGGCTGCTCAGAGAGGACAGAGTCAGTGACCAGAGCCAGGCCACAGAAACCGGACACAGACAGACCTGGCTTTTCAGAGAGGCCAGGCTGTCTTCCTATTGCCAGCAGGGAGAAACAGAACAGAAGTCCGCTTTTTTTGCTACACTGAGAAAAATGCCAGGATTAGACAAACATTCATGCCCTAAAAATCGAACTCCCAGAACTCCCACACCTGTCTGAATCACAACAATGTCCAATCCTACTGCAGCCCAGTTCTCTCAATAATGTTTTATGCGATGTATGTAAATGTCCAGTACTATGTTTTTACAGTAAATGTTGTGTTCATTCTTTCTGCTTTGTCAACATTGTACATCAGTCAGGCCAGTAGGGCCCCTCGAATTTGAATCGGAGAGACAGAGAAAAAAGATCAGCTGAAAGCACGCTGGGTACAACAGGGGGTGAGCAGGACAGGACAGGTGAACGGTCAGGCCCTCCCTCCCCCACGGGTGCACCTGTGTTGTGCATGGTCTGCAGCAGCAGCGTGACCAGCTCCTCGTCCTCCGGCGTCTCTCTCCTCAGCAGCCCCAGTTTCCTCCTCATGTTGTCCAGGTAGAAGGCGTTGTACTGGGGCACGAACTCCGCCACGATGGCCTCGGCCCGGTGCGCCGGCAGCTCGGGGCCCATTGCCTCTGCCAGCCGCTCCAGGTTCCAGCGGCACACCGACGGCTGGGCGCTGTACGAGTAGCGCCCCCCGGTGTCGGAGGCGTTGCACACAAAGTCAGGATCAAACCTGCACAGCCAGAGAGAAAGACAGGGTAATGGTACTTTTAAAAAGACCACTGGATATGATGATGATGAATATTGTTATTATTTGCTTACGCTTACATAGCATTTTTCTTGTAAAGTTTGTACTGAATTTGGACGGGACGCCAGGGGAACACCCTTACGTTTTTCAAGAAACGGTACGGGCCAGCGTCATTTTCAGTGACCGAGAGTCAGGACCTTGGTTTTATGTTGCATCCAAAGGAGGAGCCTTTTTTACATTATACTGTCCCCGTCACTATACTGGGGCATTAGGACCCACACAGACCGCAGGGCGAGCGCCCCCCTAACACCTCTTCCAGCAGCAACCTTAGTCTTTCCCAGGAGTCTCCCATCCAGGTACTGACCAGGCTCACACCTGCTGAGCTTCAGTGGGCTGCCAGTCATGATTTGCACAGTGATACAGCTGCTGGCTATAGCAGATTATAACACAATGAGAGCAGGATATTTCTGTATTTTTACAAATGAGAGGGAACCTTCAGGCCCATATAGCCTGTTTAGCATTTTCCACACTCCCACCACCCTGTGTGTAAAGACGTGCCTCCTATTCTCAGTTTTCAATGCACTTCCACGCAGTTCCTTCTGGAACTTGCTGGTCCGTGTTTCACTCTTCAGATTAAAAATCTTCCGGGTTGACTTTGTCAGTATTTTCGAATACTTGCGCAAGACCCCTTGTAGTCTTTTCTGTTGAACACGGGTTCCTTGAGCCTGTCAGTGCAGGACCCAAAATGGATCTCTGGACTAATTCCAAAGCAGGAATAACCATTAACATATTGTTTTATAAGGCAATGTTAATATGGTGGATAAAAAGCTGAAAAAATAAAACAGGGGCAGAGAAAGACGAGGAAGCTGGCGCGGCTGTGAGGGTAAGAAGAGGGGTAAAGAATAAAAGATCTGAGACGGACTAGAAGAGAGACACAGCTCCACCTGTCCATGAAACCGAAGGGGCCGTAGTCCAGCGTCAGGCCGAGAACGCTCATGTTATCGGTGTTCAGGACGCCATGACAGAAGCCCACACACTGCCACTGGGACACCAGTCTGGCTGTCCGCACGGTCACCTAGACACAGGAGCACAACATCACACAGCGGACAGAGGACATCTTAGACCTAAAGCTCTTTCTACAGCTCTACTGGATGACCTCTAGCATCTTGAGCTGCATCGTCGGCTTGTTATCGAGAGCAGAACGTATGGTATAACCCAGTGTAAACCAGTCCAGCCTGCTCCGGTCTAGACACGACAGGCCCAGTCCAGTACCTCCCTGAAGAAGGCGGCGTTCCTCTCCACCCGGTCTGCCCCCCGGCTCTGCTGGACGTCGGGGTAGAAGGTGTCGATGACGTAATCCAGCAACTGGGCTCTGATGTCATCGCGGCCCACGCTGGGGCCCTGGCGCCCCGTCAGCTCGTCCTGCGGCTTGAAGATCTCGAACGAGCCAAACCTGCACACAGAAAAA